ACCTCCGTCAATTATTCTCCTCACATCACCTGTCCACCACCCATCCCGTGGAAAGCATCAACGACGTCGTTTACTTCAAAACCCTGAACAATCACTTCTTGTGGTAGCGCTGACCTCACAAACGCCACATTTACGTACTCCCTCAGAAGCTCCGACCCATTTTCATCCGCCAACAGGTCGTTGTACTCCACGTAAACTTTGTCGTACCTTTTAGGGTTTAATTTTTTTTTCTTTGATTTTTGAAGCGGGATTAACTATAGTCGCTAAGAAAGAAGTAAACGTCTACACAACCTTCCTCATCGGATTTTACCTCGATCAGAGAAACCTTTGGAATTAGCGAATTTTGCCGCCTTTTTAGTTCCTTTCACTGTGAATTGTTTACAGCACCGCCCATTTTTTGGTGCTATTCTGGTTTGTATGGATTCTGCTAAGCCTGCCTTTCGGCCCCCATCCAAAGTTCGAGCCTTAGGGGTTTTTTTTGTCAATTTTCCTTTTATTTTTAGCCCATGTTTGATTCGAATTAAAATCAATCAAAGTCAAACAATTAATATTAACCACTTCTTTCATGAATCCCACAACTTTTCAACAATACATTTCAAAAACTTCTATCACAATATACTAACAATCTAATTTTAATCCCCACCAAACACACTTAATATTTTTATCTAACGCCCTGTTTGATTTCAATGGAAAATATTACATTAGAGGAAAACGAATTCCACTTAAACCGTTTGATTGCAACGTGGAAATGGAAATCGAATTGCTAGGTACAATCACTTTAAGCTGCATTTTCTTTATTTTCATGGAAAATAAATGTTTATAGATTTTGTGAATTTTTATTTTTCAACTAATATGAAAATTGAATTCCTTTCCACCCATGTTCTAAAAGGCTCGAAAATGCGCCGTCTAGGAGCAACGCTGGTCGAAAACGTGTCGATTTTAGGAAATGAGTGAAAAATGCGTTTTCCATCTAAAAGGTGCGCATAATCCTTTTTTTTTTTTTTTTAATCTATTTTTTTATGATATATTAAAAAATGTATTTTTTTTATATAAAAATATATTTAATACCTTAAAAATACGAAACGCATTATGACGCTTATTCTTCGCATTGACACGCCTAAACTTGTGATTCTTGATTCTCGGCCTCGACGCATCGCAACGCATTACGCATTTTAGAACACTGCTAATGTGTCCAAGTCTTT